TATTTACTCAAATTTGAGTTTCAATTGTTCAACTTTATAAATTATGTATAGTCAAATAATTAAATGTCAGAAATTGCATAAAATATAAAATTGTTCTCATGAAACACATGGCGCAAAGTTGCCCAATTGCCCAAATATGAAACTTCCGCGTATATATGAGTACCCTTATTATAAATTCAACAATTTTTTAATTAATTTCTAATGCAGCAGCCGGCGTATGCAGTTAACAAAGTCGACAAGACTTTTGCTTTTGGATTTTATGAATTTAGTGGACGATACCACAACAAATATAGGTAAATAGGTGGTGCTAAATTTTAAACTTACGGTGGTGCTAAATTCTAAATTTAACGTACCTATTCTTTAGGCACACCAAAAAATTAAAAAATTTGTGAACTTAATCGGAATGACCAGTTTTGGAAATGGGAACTGCCATCAGATAAAATGCGTCTGTATATCATCTACTATATTTGTGCGCAAAATGTAGCCGAATACTAATTTGGGCGCATTAAGAAGGCGCTGCAGGAAATTGGCTGTGATCTCGCCAGTTTTCTTAATCTCCAACAACATAAAAGAAAGTTAACTCATAGATTCATACATTTGCAAAAACAATAAAAAACCAATTTGCTGACATAGGGCCAGTTTTTCAGTACACGGCCGTGGTTTAAACTAATTTTAAACGCCCGATCTGGCTGGTTTAAACTAAGATCAGCCAATCAAATAGCAGCCAGCTGTTCAATTTACACTCAGTTTACTTAATCTGAGTTTAAACTGGCACTGAAAAACTGGCCCATAATGGTGTTTTATTTTGGTAAAAGGAGAAAATTAAAAGTAATAAAAGAAATTGGTTGTATGTATGCGTATATATATTTCTGGAGAATACTGGTGCCCACGCTATGACCACATGCATGTCAAGTGAGTTGGGGGATCGAGCATTATGGACAAATATCGCGGAAAATCATTTAAATACAAATTTCTGCGAAACTCTTTTCAATTAATTTGAATTATGACATCGACAGGGGTGCTTTGAAACGTATTATTTGACCAAAGAAAAATCGAGCAAAAGATGTACAATTTTAGCAATTGCCTAGTTTTTATTCATACGGTCGTTTATCAAAAAACGGGGGTTTATCAAAAAAGAGCAATCATTTCTGTTTAAGCGATTCAGTTTTTATCGTTTAGGTAATTATCAAAATAATTCTATTTTGGTTTTTAACGAAAAGAAATTCAATCATTAATGCTGAAGCTGTAATGCATATAGGTGCTAGGTGTTAACAGTAAGCTCGCAACGGCATACAACAATAACTTTTCGTTGATTTATTTTGTTTCATTGTTACCGATTGATAATTTATTTCGTTTCAACGTTAATGATTGAGTTTTGTTTCGTTAATTTAGCTCTGAAACGTAAGAAGTTATTTTGATAAGGTATTTTTACGCATCAACAAAACGAAATTAGTTTGTTGAGCATCTCTGCATACGGCCCATTATTTTAGAAATAAACAAGAAAAAAATTCTAATATCGGGCGGAGCCGAACATTAAATACCCTGCGCAAAACTACCATTACGTGGTAAACAGGGGCGTTTTGCATCTATTTTGGCCCCATTGTGCGTCGTCATTTTAGCCGCTTGGTGGCTAGATTTAGCTACCCAATTCGTTTTTTGGCCACATAAATTTAAAATTGCCCCTATCCCCTTTTTAGCCCTTTGGAAAATTTATTTATCCTTGACATGAAAAAGTATTATATGCTTCATTTGATCTCGTTTTCTTTTTCATTTATGCAAGAGATGAATTTTTAAACTAAGAAATACTTTGATAAATATACGCTACTATAGAAAAAGGATAGGTTCACTCAAAGTTATGTTAAAATATTACACCCAAAATGGATTTGGCAAAAGCGATTGAATTTCACATTGTTCGTAGAAGAACCATCCTATAAAGTCAAATTGAAAAATATTTTTTGATATGATAATACCTTAAAGAGAGTCCCACTGATTACACCCAAGTTCATAAAAAATAAAGAAGACTGTAACTGTTTTATAAATCAAAACACTTTATATAGCTCTTGGAATCTTTCTTTATTTTTTATGAATAAGGCCATTAGCATATACCGTTTTTATAAGTAAATCTTATAGCGTAATGCCATAATAGTATGTATATGAGTTTTGACTGGCGAAATATGCAGTTTGTCAACTAAATAAAAAAAGCGTATATGAGTAAACGTAACCACATTAAAAAAAGGTTTTAAATATTGAATGGCGCAACACAACAACTCTTTTTGTTGCACGAAACCCTTGAACACGTGCCTGCCATCTATTTCTTCTGTTTCGACATTTCGCTATTTTGTATTTCTTTCATTTTGACGTCATTCGCATTGTCAGATTTTTGAAATTCGTTTTGGTTTCTAAATCCTGCTATTTCATAATTTTTTCATTCTCATGTCATCCATCTTCCATTTTTTACCTTCCATTGCCGTTCGCATCGTCGAACGTGCCTGTCAAACACTGCTGCCATCATGCTTTTCAGTTTGGCAGGCACGTCCGCTGTTTGGCAGGCTCGTCCGCTGTTAGAAAGAGAATAGACAAAAAGGGGCATAGGATTCCATACTTGTAAGTATATACGATGGTAATTTTCACATACAAGTCGTGTGTGCGCAGCTACCGAACTTATGCGCCGCTAGCAGCCGGTCAGTTTGCGTTTGTACTTCATGCTGTAAGCATCACATGCGCGAGCTGTTTTGCTGAGTACACACATACAGATACAAAAATATTGCGCTTGTATTGGGAGCTCTGCTAACGCTGTGCCCCACTGTACTACACACATGAAATGATTTCAAATGGTCAATTAACAATTTTGGATTATGTACATGAAAATTGCAAAGAAAGCACGTAAACATTATACAGGATTAATTTGACAATTTGTTTGTACTTTCCAAATAATTGATTAATAATAATATATTCGGGTTTACTGAGCATTCAAATTTAAAAAAGTATTTTTCTATGAAATTGAACAAATATTTAGCTTCTATTGGGTATTAAAAATTTAATACATGAAATAATTTATATAATATGTCAAGCGCTCTTACAAATGTTGGTACTTTATAAAGTATACTATCAAAAACAATATAATAACTTTCTAATCTTGACAATTCTTTTCCTATGACCAAAATTAGTGGTTGCAGCGAAATACCTCTTTCCATGGCTTTACATTTCATTTCGTCATACTTTCTCTGGTAGTCATTTACACATTCTCAGTGCAGCACTTTGTGCGTCACATATAGGTAGACGGTTTCCATTTAAGTCGCTTACTACCAGGAGTTTTACCAATGGAAACTAGTGGTGGTTTCAGTATAGAATGCATTAGTAAGGTTATTATGCAGTCGGCTGAGTCTAAATGAATAAGTAAATTTAGAATGACAACAACTAACAAAGTATACAACTTTACCCGAGTCAACATTGTCATCAATCATGAGTAGCATATTGTTTGATGCAGTATCTTTAATTTTGTCTCTCTTTTAAAATTGGGCCACTCATTGATCAAATTTTGTGTGTTGTCGGTATACTTTGCCGTAAAATCTATTTCAATCTGCAATAATGAACGAAAAACTTTTTAAGGTATGCTCACGATAAGAAACACTAAACAAAAGCATGAATAAATCAGGGACCGTAATCCTTATTTTGTGATTTTTATTTTTTCGATAATTTTTAATCGTTATTTTGTGATTTTTAAGTTTTTCGATCAAAAATAATCGCGATTATTTTTTATTTGTTCGATAATTTTAAGTCTTAATAATGGAACTGCGTTTTTATTACCGATTTTATGAACTAAAAAAATTCATTCTGAAAATAACGGTTATAATGTGATCGAAATACCAAAAATCATAAAATAAAGATTAAAAATTATCGAAAAAATAAAAAATAATAACGATTATTTTTGATCGAAAAAGTTAAAATCATAAAATAACTACAAAAAATGCCTGTAAAATATAAATCTGAAACGATTTCGCAATTATAACGATTATAAATATAGGCCCCTATTGCGAGTGTCGACTGGCAGTAGAATAGAAATATGTCGATCGAGTCGATCTTCTTTTATTTTGCTATTGTAAAACTTGATCGATAAAAATTTGTACTATTGTGAATGTTTGACAGAATTGTAAACAGCTTTTTGTTTGTTTACATTTTTTCTTTAGTGTTTTATTTACATAATTTTTAAAATAATTGCTTTTTTTATAAAATTAAAAAAATGGACACAGTTGAAATATGGTTTAGTGATGAGGAAGATGATGTGGAAGCTAATAGATTAGTAGAGTTGGCTAAAGCAAGGAGGGAATTGCGCGATTCGTCGGATCCCTTGGAGTTGGAAGCTGAAGTGTATGTACATATGAGAGTTTTATGAATAGAAGTTGCGTTCCCGATGCTTCATGGTTTCTAGGCTTTACATGATTTGCAGGAAAAGCTGTTTTCCTCATTAATAAACTTTATAGTACCACTTTCTTATGTAAATTTTATAAACGCAAACTCCAACGACTAAAAAACAGCAAAATAAAGATGAGCGATTAAAAAGTATTCACAGTCGCTAATTGAGCGACTAAGCGACACTCGCAATAGCATCGATAATCGATAATCGCTTAATAGTCGTTTATCTACTGCCAGTCGACATTCGCAATAGGGGTGATGGCATGAACGAAAGACACAAGATCACGTAAGAACAAGAGAGTGAAAAAAGTCGATTTTTTTTTAGCGGGTTCTACGCCATCTTGTTTCACTGGAAAACAAACGAAAAGTAAACAAAGCAAAGAAAACAACGACAACCAAAATTTGCCAAAATTATTGTCAGCCACTTTAAACGCACAATTTAGGTAAAATGATGCAACAAAATGCTTTAAAATGTGTTGTCATGTTGAATTAACTCTTCTTTACTTGAATAAAAGTGTAAAATAGTGGTGCTTGTGATGTAAACAAACGCTCAGCTGACGAACCCGCTTTCGCAAACTTTTTTCTCAAAACCAGTTACAAATACAACGTCGCGTTCTTACGTGATCTTGTATTTTTGGTTCATGGGGTGATAGTATAATAATACTAACTAATGTATATCCAAGGGTGTGCTTAAGAGCGGCCAATCAGCAAAAATATTTACTTTTCCATCGAAAATATCCTGCCGTCTTATTTCGATTGTTTCGTTCCAGTTTTTTACTACATCACTCCAGGGCTCCATATTGTGTGCAAGCCACAATTTTTTGGTGATTGCATTCTGATCTAAAAGGGTATGTGTTATAAAAATATGCAAAATACTAAAGGCTCAAAATTTTTTAAAAGAAATTCAGAAATTCAGAAATTTTGCGATAAAAGTGATTAATAAGGAAAAAATGGAAATGGAATATTACCATTGCTGTATGACGCCGAATCTTTATTTTTTAAAACTTCTGTATCATTTAGCTTAACTTTGCTTGTTGAGTTTTCTACGAACATTTGTCGCTTTATCGTACAGCTTCCCTGTAGGATTTTTGCCATCTCGGCGGTTACAATAATAACGCCGCGAAACAATAGAAATGTATGTCCTAACTGTGTACAAAACCTATGAAAATTCGACAAAATTTCCATTCATTTACTAAAGTGGGCTATAAGACTGCATACTTGAAATTTTTTTTTATACATTTTTTTAAAAGGGTTGCATTTTTGATGAAGCTATGCAGAACTCTCCTAAATTTCGTACACAGTTTAATACTTGGATTTATAACAAAGCATTTATATTATGGAAAATATTGCGAATATGTAAAAAAATCACCGTATACTAAATTTTTTCAGTATAACTTACCATGTTTTCAGTGGGAAATAAGGCCACTATTTGCTCCGAAAAATTCACAATATCTTTCATTGCGATAAGTAGAGACCGTTCGCTGAAGTAGTTCAAAATAATGTTCACTAAAGCTTCTCTGTGAACATCTAACAGAAATAATTTTTCTTTGTATTGTTGAAGTATACTATTTCCTTTTGGTGTGCTATTTAGAAGCACATCTAAGTTTGTTTGCGTGAATTTTGTATAATTTTGTGAATCCTGACTGCAATTCTGGCCGCTTTTACACGAACTTAAAGATGAAATAGTACGCGCCTAAAAAAATAGAGCATTAATAAATTTATGTTTAATAATAATAAAAATATATTTATTAGCTGCTTACTTACTGCGTTTTGTCGCCAATGCGAAAGTCTTTCCCGGAATTTAATCATTATACCAAGCATTGTTTGAGGAAAAAGTTCATTTACGTCTTCATCTTTAATCAGGTATAAGCTTTCTACATCCAAGCCACAATCTGAAAGTTTGTGATAAAACATTTAACATTTAAACACATAGCCCATTTGCATCATGAGCGCACATGTGCGCGAATTTTGACTGACTACTATCACAAGAGCGCATATGCAATTACTCACAAAAGTATTCGTTGTTTAGTTTTTGTTACGATATTCAGAATGTCTTGCATTATACATCCTTTTGGTTAATTGATTTAAAATATGACTCATTTTATATAAAAAACATATAAATCAATATTGGAGACTTTGTACAATATTCAAAAAATCAGCGAATTTCAAAAAATTATCATCAAAATTTCAAACTTTTTAATTAGATTTTTAAGAATCTTTTCAAGTAAACAGTTCTGTAGCTGATTTTTTTGAATATTGTACAAAGTTTCCCACAATGATTTATATGTTTTTGTTATATAATGAGATAGTGATATACAGCCCTGTTCTGCATTTCGACTCATTTTGAAAAGTAAAACGACACACATTTCGACTAACTTTGGTGGTGGTGTTCTCAATTCCGAGTCAGATCGAACAAGTTCGAAATCGTTTTCGAATCGTTTTCATTTCGATTCGGTAATAAGTTGAAACAGCTGTTGTCAGTTATTTGTGTAAAATTAATTGAAATCTAAAAAAATTGATAAAATGCCAGCGCCAATTGGGGTGTTCCAAATTGTATCTGAAAATGTAGACGTCTACATTTTGAGACATCTTTAGCATCAAACTGTGAGCACCCCTTTCTAGCAGTCGTCGCAAAATCGTCTCAAAACTTTGCTGGTGTTGCCAGACATTTCTTCTTTGCGCGCATTTTTTATATGTCGCCTTTCGATTTTGTTTCTGAAAAATTGTAATTATTTAACTTAATTACCAATTCCTAATATTTGTTATTTCTTTCCTTGATTTGTTTCTTTTTATCAGAAATTGCGCTCAAATTAAATGCAAATACAGAAAACGTGCCCAATAAATAAAAAAAAATTTGATAAGTATTGCCATAATGCAACCCTGCTGCGAGGTTGCAAAATGTAGACGTGTAAAAAACATACCTTTGAGTGTGACAAAATGTAGACGGCGTCGTTTTCCAATTTTGTATGGGAAACAGCAACCCCACAGATTTTACGGCTAGAAAACGTCTTAAAATGTAGACGTCTACATTTTNGCAAATACAGAAAACGTGCCCAATAAATAAAAAAAAATTTGATAAGTATTGCCATAATGCAACCCTGCTGCGAGGTTGCAAAATGTAGACGTGTAAAAAACATACCTTTGAGTGTGACAAAATGTAGACGGCGTCGTTTTCCAATTTTGTATGGGAAACAGCAACACCACAGATTTTACGGCTAGAAAACGTCTTAAATTGTAGACGTCTACATTTTGAGACACTATTTGGAACGAACTGTGAACACCCCAAATGATTTTTGGGTGTGCCGAGGCAAGAAGACAAACAAAAAAATCGTCAGCTAAGGATGCATGTAGACATATTTCAAAAGTTGGACTCCAAGTAAGTTTACCCTTCAATGTAATTTTCTTTGTCTAACTTGATCTGTACATACTTTTT